CAGATGATCTCCAGAGGTCCCATCCAACCCCAGACATTCTGTGATTCTGTAAACTTTGACATTTCTTGTATGTATTTGGGATGAAATTTATGGATTTGCTCCATATTGGCTTACCTTGAAACCACTGAAGTTAATATTTTGAAAAATCCAGATGATGGATGCTTAGTAGGTTTCAGCCTGCTTTTGTTTAATGATGTTTTGGGTTAAACTTTTCAAGATGATGCACTTTTCTTTTGGTTTATTTGCAGTGGTTTGGAAAAGCTAGGAAAAGATAAAACACTAGATAAAACCAAGCCTGTGAATTTGTAAAAGCAAGAAGAGCAACTATTAGGTTGTGATGGGAGATTAAAAGAATAGCAGTAATAGTTTTGTATTGCGAAATTCTGTAAAGCCTTTCTTACGTTACTAAATGACGGATCAGTATTTGCCGTGTGGGTAGCTTCAGTCCTTATGGTTCAATAAATACAAGGGTACTTTGTGGTAGGAGCTTCGTTAGTGCTACAGCTCTGGTCAAGCACTGAACAGCAGAGATGCTCTGCATGAGAAAGCTCTCTCACACTGAGGAACCTGCACATCGTTTTGATGCTCTTTTCCTGGGTGACTTTAATATTTCATGAAGTGACCCTTTGTTTCTGAAGGCAGACTTGAATAGTTGAGGTTAGGGCTTGCTGGAGCAAAACGCGTCCACCCCTCTTGATTGCTCCTTCAAAGGGTGTCTGAGGGCGGTGGGGCTGAGCACATCACTTTATCTATCTGAGGTGTTTATATCCTTCTTGTTCTGTCTTCCCTGGGTGCCAGGGAAGGTCAATCTTGTGGTTAGAGACTAGATGAGATGCAGAAGACCCATTTTCAATTCCTGACTCTGCTGTGTGCTTAGTGCCTTCCTCTAAATGCGGACGCTTATAACACTCACTGTATTCCACCCAGGCTCTGGATTTTCCCACTGTTGGGTCTAGCTGTTAAGTGCTGGCATGCCCTCACTTTGTATGACTTTGGTATCAAAGATCACAGGCTTTTCAGTGATATTACTGTTTCCAAGAGGAAGATACTGGTTATTTTACAGTGGTATCTTCACTTCTGTTTCTCATTTGCTGTTGCTTTGCTGCAGACACTGCATTTGGAACAAGGAGAAAGCAACCACTGTGGGGTAGATAATTTGATGAGGACTTTGCATCACTACTTTCCTTTGGTGCTTTTCTAAGCTTCCTTGAAATGGGAAATTATATCTTCTAATGAACTGCTGTGGCTAAAGGCAAGGAAGGACACTTTCTGAGGGACTGGGACACCTGCAGTGCTGCTTCTGTTCTTTATTTTGGGGTGGTACCTTCAATTCTTTATTTCTCCTGCATGTAGTATTGCCATTTCCATCTCCCTTACCCATGCCCAGGAGCCCAGAAGAACCTCTGAGCTCCTGCAGACAGGACTTTGTTCCTCGCTGCTCGGTGAGGAGGAAGGCTCAGCCACAGAGCCAGGATTTCATGATTTTGCTGTGTTTGTATTTTCTTCCTTTGCAAATGCCATAAGAAAGTGGCTAAAATAAGTATTTTAGACATTTTCTAAATACTTGTTATAAACTAAGAGTTAAAGCAATTTTGAGATAATTAGGTCCAGTTTAGGAGACACTGGAGGTACCAGTGTGAATTGAGGAGTCAAACAAGAGACGCATCGTGGTGCCCCGTGAAGCCCCATGAGAAGGCACTCGTTCATCACAGTCAGTGGCTGACTGAAGACAAATGATAAGAATTACCTCCTGACCTGAAGGTGAAAAGTCAGATCAGTAAAGAAATGGGATTTTAGACTTGGATGCCTTCCAGTGCAAATGCCGTGCTGCTTTTCTCTGGGTGTGTAGATGCAGGGACTGTCAGCAAAGCTATCTATGAAGGAGCTTGTGTGAGAGTGCTGGCAGGAAAGGCTGAACCGAACTGATATGTTAAGCTAAAATCCTTTATACTAAATAGTTCCCTACAGCTACATTAGCCTCAACAGAAATGTTTGGAACTAATGTTGGAGGAGGTAGTGCATCCAGCCTCACTAAAGCAAGACTGGACTCACTAAAGCTCAGAACCGGACCTACCAAATAGGCAGAAGAGTGTAAGAAATCAGGCTGGAGTGCATATAATTTGAGAACAATGATGAATTCCTATCTCTGAGCTGGTATTCAGAAACCTTCCACTTGCATGGTCTTGTGGTCAGTCACTGGGGACCAATGCAGATCCTTGAAGAGAACGTTCTTTGCATAATTAAATTTTTTGAAGTTATTTTGTGAAGCTGAAGAATGAGGAAAGATTGCAGAGCTTGTGATCTCATGGGAGGGAGGTCTGTAGAGATGACCTTCTGATTATCTCAGGCTGTCTGCCATTGAGAATGAAAGATTAAATTTGCTGCTGGTAGCTCAGTCCTTTCATTCTGCCTCAACAGTACATTAGCTAATGGTTACTACTAAAAAAAAAAAAAAAAAGAAAAAAGAAAAAAAAAAGAGACTACGACAAATAGACTAACAAGTGAAACTCAGACAGCCTGTTTTATAAGCCAGCTAGTGGATATGACTCCTATGCTCCTGGCTATTAACTTGGCTTAGTTTGTAACACTTATTGGGACAAGAAAGTCTCTTTGTTCTATGGCATCTTCTGATTCAGTGGATTTTTGTGAGAGTAACTAATTTCAGCTGAAGGTAAACAGCCCTCCTGGGGAGGCCCCATTTCGCAAATCACCGCATTCCCGTTCTGCTAGGATGGTTGATGCTCTACAGGACTTTGTCCCAGCTTGACTGTCTCTCTTTCCTGGCTTTTAGCCATGATTTCTAATCCCATGAGTGGGGTGGCAACAAACCAAGGCAGTCTGTAGCACCATGCTTGTCCTTTTTTTTCCCCTCAAAACAAGTCAAAATACATAGCTGAGATTTCTTCTACACTCATTAAATCCCACTTTACTAAGGGGGAAAATCAGAGGGAATGGACAAAAGAACTCCCTTGCTGAGCTTTCCTCTCACATAATTGATAATTATTGGCCTTGTGGGAACAAGAAAGGGAGAGCTGAGAAGTCCTTCTCTACACTTTTAGCTTTGCTCCTACTCTGTTGCCTTCCCAGTACTGCCCACTTGACCACTGTCTACTTGAGAAACGCCCTTGAGGTATGGTAAGAGGCAAGAATGCAAAGATGGGCATGGGGAGCATGCACAGAAAGTGGAGAAGTGAGACTAGATTTGGAAAGAAGAGTGGGAAAAGGAGTATAGAAGTCACAGATGATGAGAAAGCTCAAGGTGCTGAGAAATGCAGGGAGAAGGTGATACTGAACACACCCTGGAGTGTAAGGAAGGAGAGAAGAAAAATAAGACACTGTCATGGAGCTTTGTTTTCATACTTGTGAAAGACAAAAACGTGATTGATTTCCCAGTTTTCTGATTTTGATAAATGCATGTTGATTTGCATATTTGGTGTCAGAGCCTGTTCTCAATCTCAATACAGTGAATCTAGTGGGAGTCCAATATTACTTCAATATATATTGGTGCAAATGCAAGCAGAATCTGGTCTTTTCTATTCATTCCAAAAGCTAAATTTAGAAGAAAATAAATGCAAGCTATTCATGCAGGAACTATAGAACAGAACACTTCAGGTATTTCCTATCACTGTGAATTTATGACTTAATCATATAGTATCTCGAATCTCAGCTACTTCATTATTGGCACTTTCATCTGAGTGTTGCACTTCATCGGTCTAATTTTGTGCTGACGTTAGCTGGCTCAGTGCCAGCCATGTCAAAGAAGTCGTCTTGGCTTACACCAGCGGTTAATCTTGCCCTGCTATTTTTTTTTTTTTTTTTAAACTTCTCTCTTTTCACTGTTTTCAGGAATAATTCGTCTGAGGGATGGATTTCATGATCGCTACCCGGTGGAAGATTACCTTGACCTGTTTGACTTAGCAGCACATCAGATTCAGAGTGTGCTGCAGAGCGAAGCAGTGAAAGAGCGTGGGAAGATGAACAACATCATAATTGGTAGGGCAAATACAGCCTCTGAAATACATCTCTGTAGCTCCAGGTTGGCAGCGTTCATAGCTGAGGCATGAGAGAGGCATTTTCCCTATGCATGCGTTCACAGCACAGAGCCCCTGACGTTGGTTTTCTCTGGTGTGCCTGGGTTGCGCAGAAGTTCTTGCCTTTTCCTGGAGGGTAGTTACTTGCTTTGTTAAGAAGTTGTGATCATCTTTAGGAATTGCCTGAACAAGCAATGAATGTCTGATGACCATCAGCATTTAATGAAATCTTTTTTTTTAAAAAAAAAAAAGAGTGAGAATGACCTTGGTGACTCCTTCAAACATTGTTTTCATCTCCTTTTCATTATGAGGGGTTTGCCTGTAGTGATGGGATTGTAGCTTCAGATTCAAATGCTGTATCAGTATGTCTGGGCTAACACACTAATTGTGGTGTTATGACATACAATAGGTGCTGTAGAAATCCTGTAGCTGACCAGAGACAGTTTCCATGATAGTGATAGCTCCAAGGGGCTCTTCTGAAACTCCAACATAAGATATATGTAGGAAGAAGGACCACCATTTTTTCTGTCATCATCCCTATTTAGCCTATGGTGGACAGAAATAAAAACAATTAACCCCCTGAGCTGCTTTGTTAACAGCAAGGATAATGCAAATTTCAAGAGCAGGAGTATACAGAGTCAAGCTGAAGCTGTATCTTGCACGCTATTTCTTTTCAGGTATGGAACCTAGAGGCACAGTACAGGATACTATTTGAAGATAATCTTACAGTTTCAGTTGATGTTAAATTACCTGATTAGCATTAAAAATGGTTTAGAAATGCTGTTGTATTGTACCTTACGGAACTCCATGATTACGACTGGGCTCTAGGGAAGGGTCCCTGGATTTCTTTCCATGACACACATTTGTCAATCCACTGTGCTCATCCACTGTGGTCCATGGTGCCATCGGTTTACAGTGCCCATGAGGAACACCAGCAGAAACTTCTAAATTCTGCTTTTGCTTTCTGCTAAGACCAGAAAACTGAGTGGGAGAGAGTTTTACCAGTCTTGGTCTCTCATCTCAAAATTTCCCAGGGAAACCAGATAAGTTCCATGTGAAAATACTGGTTGTGCAAAAGACAGTTCCCTATTGAAAAGAGACTTTTCAAGTAAGTCTGAAGTCTTTATTCTACAGAAAACAGAGATAAGATTTTTGCTGCCTGTCCTCAGAATTATTTTTTTGTCTCATTCTAACCAAAAAAGTTTAACCTATTGTTGGCTTGATGAAATGGTGACATTGTCTTAACGTTGTTTAAACCAGAGACTTGGCTATAGTCACATTTGTTCAATACTTCCTCAGCCCCCATTTAAGTCTGCCATTCACTTTATTGAATATTCAACATTGAGCAAAATTTGCAAGATGGAGTCTTAAGAAATGTTACCATCAAGGACATCTGCAGACTTTCCTCCTACTTACAATAATATCTCCTGTCCTTTCATGGATGAAGTGCTTATACTAATTAAATTCACTAATCTAATTGGCAACGTACATCTTTGATTGCTTACCTCCTGTTACAGCTTTTTCTAGAGTTCGCTTTGTGTTTCTTTTTCCTGTAGTCTCATTTCTTGTTTCATTACGGTTCTGTTCACTTTTCTTATTAAGTTTACAGGAAAAGTCCTGAATGATTATACTCATTAAGTCAGTCTTTTATGACCTTGGCAAAAAACAAAACAAAGCTAGCTAGTCTAAAAAGAATCTGTAAATATCAGGTTTGCTTAGAATCCTCCATTTTCTTATTTCAGATGACTAGAAAGAAAAATCGAATTAAAACTATAAACATTTCAGTAGTTCATCTTGTTACATTATTTTGAAAAGTTAAGCTTCTTTGGATATTATACTTAGTGGGTAATAATTGCATTTTCCCAAAAAAAACCATCATCTGCTTAGAGATGAACCAAAGAGGACAGCGCTGATCTAGCCTGAGGCATTGTGAGTAGGACTTGTTTATTTGTGATCATTAATATGATAAATTCAGAGTAATGTCTTCTGAAAACACAGTATGATGTTAATCCATTAATGACTGAATAAAGAGGTTATACATCCATTCTTTAGGCAATTTAGTAACTCATATGTTCTTTAAGTCTGTAAGAAAAAATAATAAATTTTTGGTTGCACTGCAGTAATTTGACGTAATTACTATAGCAGTGATTAGTTTATCTCCTGTTTAGTATGGCTTGTTCTCTTTGCAGATATTCAGTCTGTGTTATAAACCAGAAAGGAACACTGTCAAATTGTCAGGACTATTTTTGACTGCTTCAGGAAATTAAAATTGTAGGAGTCAGCAGAGAACAGATTTATTTTTTTTTAACCCCCCCCTCCTCCACTTAATTCTTGACAATCATCTTGTTTTGGGAAGATTTGCCTCCTTGAACCCTGACTATCCTGGGCTGACTGCATTAGAGCAGCATCCTAAGTCCTTGTTAATGCTTAAGCATGATGTGGTCCTGTGCTTGTCATCTTCCCTTGCTTGTGCACTGCCTGCAGAGTTTTGGTGATGGCAGCTGGTCCAGCTGAAACAATTTCTGTGGAGTGGTCTGGTCTGTGATGTTAAGAGAATCTGCCCATTTAGGGGTAAATGCATTGCTTTTATTTAGTTCAGATAGCACATGTGTAAGCAGATGTTCTTAGGTTTGGTCACTATATATGAGGTAATTGGAATAGATCCAATAGAGCATCAAATAAGATCAGAGGTCTACAGATCAGAGAAATATGAAGGAAGATTAGAAAATCTATTCTAGAGAGGAATAGATGGCTTGATGAGGTCATAGACCTCAATCTTTGGCATGATTTAGGCAAACATTTTTGAGGGAGCAGTTCAAGTCTGGCCATTCTTGTCACGGAGATGTAGCAGTGACTTTCCAAGGTCACTGTCATCCCTGGAGCGCACCACTATTCTGGAAATCCGTGGATGCAAGTGCTCGTACCCATTTGCATTATACCATCTTCTGATAGCGCAGAAATAGCTGCATGATGTTTTTGTGGTACGGCTATCTCAGCTCTTGTCCTATATTTAGTCTTTCGTGTTTCTGCTTCACCCAGCGTGGGAGCTGAGCTAATTGAGTTTTAATTGACAAGTCAAACCCCACTGACAATTAGGCAGTGCTTTGGCTAATTAATTTAGAATGGAAAAGCAGACCTGTTGTGGACACCCAGCTTTAGCCAACGGACCTGATCTCCTCCTTCTGAAAAGAGGCAAAATGAACATGACAGAAGATTAATGTGTTTTCTAACAACTCCCAGACTTTATTAATGAATCGCATTATGTTAAGCTGAAGTTTGGAGCCAGTACCTTTTTCATGTTGTGTTTTGGCCATCTTTTAAAATCTTTATTGGACTTTCCCAGGAGAGAGAAAAAAAAAAAAGGGGGGGGGGGAGGAAATCATGTGCAAGTCTGTAAGCCTACAACATTATTATTTTTTTTATCTCATTCCTTTTGATTTGAAAAACCTCATTAACAAGAATTAGCTCTTATTAGACTGTCAAAGAGTGGAAATTTCCAAAAGGCTTCTGTATATGTTTTATTAAATGGTAGTGTGCCACATAAATGCCAGCATTACTTAAAAAGATGGGGAAGATTACACAATTCAAAACATTGTATCAGATCATTTATTTAGCAGCGGAAGCATTGTTCTGGCAGAGACATTACTGTTTGTGTTTCTCCCTATAGCATTACTTTCAGAGTAAGCTTCTTCAGCAACTAGGGATAGCAGAATCTGGCATTTAACCAAATCGTGTTATTTATTCCATAGGCATTTTGTCTAATAGTTAGTAAATGGTTATATTTGGCTTAATCTACATGAATAATTGTAGTTCTATAAAAAATCTCTGATAACAGATAGTTCTCAAAAAGGGATATTTCAAACCGCAGTGACACAATTCAGCTAGTTAGTGCATTTTTTTTTATATTTCCCATGTGCTCGCTGACCCTCCTGTTTATGTCCTAAACACTATGGATCTGCTGGAGTGGTGGTTTCTGCTTTTTTCTTTAGCTTGTGTCAAATGGTACAGTTCGTTAGCAAGTTACTTCTCTGAGATCAGGAGCGTTAAAGCCAACCCTTGGGGTGCTACAGAGAGCACGGCAGATCTTCAGCAGTGACCAGCTCCTGCCTCCTCGCTGGAGGATGTGCCAAAACCCTGAGCAGTCTGTTCCAGCCCAGATCAAATATATTTGTATGTGTTAACCACTCACGGAAAGCAGTGCGGTTAGTGGACAGTAATATTTCAGGTGGAATTACATAAAACCTGCTTTAACCATCACTACATTCACAAAGGTACAAGGCAGTGTGATTGCTCTGGCTGTGGGGAGCGTTAGCTGGACCAATTTGCAAGAACCAAGGTATGTTGAAATTAATAGAGTCTGTTTTAATCGGTCTACACCAGTTCAAAATTCAGCCAATTTCCACTCCAGTACAAAGAATGAAATGAGTTAGTAGCAGAGATGCTTTTAATTTCCAGGGGAGGCCAGTGCCTCGACGATGTGGGACAACAACGCTTGGATTTTCTTTTATGACAACAGTACTGAAGGAGAACCTCCCTTCTTAATCCAGGATTTTATCCATGCCTTCCAACCAAATGCCAAACTTATCATCATGCTGAGAGACCCCGTTGAAAGGTGAGCAAGGATCACGTTGCTAAAGTACGCAAGAAAATTTTCTTACTATAATAATTCTATTCGCTTTTACTCTCTCAGACGCAAAGAAATGTTCATGTGGTATTTGACAGAGTTACTTGGTTTATGATGAGAGCTGCCAAAGGGTTTTATTCTGTGTATTTTGGCATATGTAATTGTGATGAGGGGCATATGAGTGTAAATGCTGGAGTAAGTGCCATGCATGGATACCTGAGCTGCTCTGAAAAAAGAATTTATACATTGCCAAGCACAGTATAACTCCATTGCCTGAGCTGATACACCCTGGTTCTCAGCAGGGCTCACTAGACTGAATATGGCACTGCATTTACAGGTCTCAGCATAAATGGTCCTGTGAAGTGCTTCAATTCATGTTAAATAATAAGGTTTATATCTTCAAGGGGTGTACTGTTCAAAATGATGAAAAGATTGCAAATAACTCCGGAGTCAGCAAATGATACAAACTTTTTTAATCTTAAAAATGCTTGGTGCAACACTCATATAAAGCTTCACAAGGCAATTTTAGCTTGCACAGCTGACGGCTACTTAGGAGTTCATCCTTGGTCTTCCTGGCTTTGTTTCCAGTGAAAGGGCTCTGCTTTTGCAAAGGTGTGGGCAGTTCTTGAACAGTTCTCTGTTGTGTTAGCCAGGAATGAATTTGCACTTGCATTTTGCTTTTTTTCTCCAATCTTCCTCCAGATTTCTGGGGCATTTCTTTCCACTGTGTCCTCTGAAGGAGGATGACAATGATGAGGGTAACAGGGAGGATGGAGGGGATGGAGGTAGAGTCCAAAAGGATGAGACCAAAGGGGAGTGGATTCCTTCTCTCTGTAGCTCCGTAGGGACATTCAGGATACTTAGGGCTAGGTCAGTGCTCAAGGGCAAAGCCCCAGAAACACCCAGGAAAGAGAAGGGGATGCAGATGATGATGGGGACCAGGCTCTGATGCAAGCTTGGGTACTGGGAGAGGAGCAGACACGGGGTGCTTGTGCAGGCAACCCGTACCCCGCTGCCCAGCAGCTGCCCAGAGCAACTTGGCAGCGGGAGGGGATGAGGTGCTCCTTGACGAGCTTCCCTGACGGTAGGACATGGCTACTGGTGAGAGGCAGGGCTGTGAGAGTGCTTCCCATCTCCTATGTCAGGAAATACAGCTCTCAACTTTTAATGGCATCTCCTGACCTCAGGATTTAACAGATGGTAATTTTATGCGAGAGAGCTGGCTGAAGTGGCGTCCTCATGTAAATTACTGACAAATTCCCTGATTGCTTTAACCACCCTCTGTAATGTGGGTGTAGCTCTTTGCCAGCTTTAATAAAGGTGAGGGAAAAAGTCAGCTTCATCTCCCTTACTGTATTTATGATAAATTGGTTTCTTTTTGTTTATGATTCCCTGTGCCCTTGTTGCAGATAGCTCATCTGAACCGCAGGAGCAAAAGTAGCCGCGGCAGAAGGGGCAGCTTGGGCAGCTCCATCGGCGATGCAGGGCAGCAGGGCAGTTGCCTTGCAGTAGCCAGGAGGACGTGGGTGCTGCAAAGGGTCTGGGACAGGGTCTGATCTAATCTGCACAGGGTCTGGTCTATCCCCCAATGGGGGTTAGTTGGAGGACATCAAGGTTTGTAATGGTGGGTGTCAGTGGCATCATTATTTCATTGTAATGGATGGTGATTGAGGGTAAGGACTTCAAGTAGCTGGAACAGCTGAAATCCTAATCAACAAAGGTTTTATTTCCAGGCAGATGTCCCTAGAATTAAAAACAGATGGAAAGAAACATAGAAAATCTCTAAACTGCCCTGCAGAGAGAGAACTCTTCAAGAAAGTAGTTTTCCATGAGATGTCAGCAAATCTTTAAAATGATGCATTTATTTTAATGGATGATTAGAAATACTAAGCAGTCGTATTAAACCTTTTAAATAAAATTGCAGCCGGGCCTGTGCCATACCTGATGCCTGCTGACTGATTTCCCCCAGCAAGAAGCTTCTTACCTACTCTGCCAGGAGTAGGTTGGTCCTAACATCCCTGGGACTAGCTGGGCAAGCCCAAGTCTTGTTGATGTACACACTTTTCTGCAAGCAGGAGATACTGTTGTGTGCCTAATTTAGTTGAAGTTGGCTGGTTTTGTCCCTTAGCTTCTCCCCAGCTCGTCCTGGTACCTGCACTGGTGGGGTGGCTCTTTGAGGGGTGCAGCATGGGGGACACAACCTCTGCCATTGCAGAGAGAGAGGACACACATGGTGCTGTGGTTGTGGTCCTCAAGCATCGGTGGGCATCGCTTTGAAATAAGCTACCTGACCAGTCTGGTCCAAGCCTGGTACCCTCCCTCTGCTCTGAGACGGAGTGTTTTCATTTAAAGAAAACTGTCTGACCCGCATTTGCCAGACTGGGAAAAACTGGACAAAAATCAGAGTCTTTTTCTTTCTTAGTTGGTGACTCCTATAGATACACTGGTTGCCTCTGCCTCATCTTATATAGTTGGCTATGATTTTTTTTAAAAAAAGTCTGTAAAAATGGAATTAAAAGCATCGTGCAAGAAATGCATCTCTTTTATTCCTTTTTAAATGAACAGAGTCTTCATTTGCTTCATATGGGAACTAAAATCCTGTCCTTGCAAAACACTAGCATAAATAATGAGTGCAGAGGGGCTATTCCTGTGCTTAAGTGCTTTGCTGGATTAGGGCCTAAACATTCTAAATTAAATGATGAATTTTTAAGTACCTGTGGAGATCTAGGGAAGTTAAAAAATAAATAAAGTAAGTGCAATACAAAAGGTTACTGCAGCAATAAAATGAGACCTAAATAGATTGATTTTTTTTTTTTTATGTCATTTCATTAGACACCTGTGTTTTTTGAAAGAGGCTGAAAGATATCTAGGATTTCTGGAATTTTGTTGAGAGGTGGGTGCTATGGAGGCTTGGAATTCGTGCTGCAAATACACTCACAAAAGTGACGACTTCTCAAATATTACAAAGTTGTCTCCAGAATCCTGTGGTTGGGGTTCTGGTCATAGCTTCTAAGCCTAAATACGAAAGAAAGTTAAAATATTGTGTTGAGCGGATCTAATATTTATGCCATGTCAGAACATTTCCTTTGTCTCTTTGAACCATGTTTATCTTGGAGAAGTTTAATCAAGGCTTCAGAGATTAATACTAAAGTAGATATTTCACTTGTCTATAAGTTTTGGGTTGTTTCACCACTACCATCCCCCAAAGGGATTTAAATTTAGATAAGCTTTTTGAAGTGATATTAAGCAATTGTAAGACTTGTGCTAAAAATGTGCAATGAGAGGATACTCCTCTGCTTTGACTTAGAGAAATTCCCATTGCTGGTGGCTTTTGCCCACAGCAGCAGCTGATGCAAGGGCTCTGCTTGCCTGCAAGCTTCAAAGAGGCATGGACCCGCATCCTGCTGTCCTCAAAGTGTAGGTGGGACTGCTTGGGGAACGCAGCCCTACAAACTGTAGGTAGCACAAATGTGAACCATTCACTTAGCTGTAGTATTTCAGCTTAAAACAAACCCCAAGAGGTGGAATGCTGTAAATTGGAAGTTTTTGATGGAAAGTCAATATAGGATTGGAAGTGGAGCTTTCTGCAAAAAACTAGGAAATCTGGACTCTTTGCCACACTTGATGGTAGGCAGCTTGGTAATCATATAAAAATCACTCTTTTGAACCCATCCCATTCCTCTGTTAGTTTTGAAATCAACTTCAAGCTTTTGAGATGAGGACTGTTTCTAGCCACGGCAGTGTGGAGCACCAAATACAGAGGGGTACCAATATCAGCTGGGGCCAGTTCTACTGTCCATAGATAATACAAATTTAAAGTATATACATTTGAAAAATTTGCCTTCAGGGGAAAATATTGACTCACACAATTTCTAGGGTCAGGTTCTCAAGGGATGCTGACCTTGAAAGCGGGGATGATGTTTATCAACTCCCTGGAGTGGATGTTGCTTTGAGCCAAAACCCATCAAAATGAATAGAAAATGTGTCACTGGCTGAACAGGCTGTCGGTGGGGCAAAGTTACATACACGTACCCTTTCCCTTGATTCACGTAACTGATTGCCTTTGTCATGTAAATAAATCTTCTTTCATTTCCTCTGTCATTTACTTGCGCGTATCTCATTCGCAGATTGTACTCCGATTATCTGTACTTTGCAAGTGCTAATAAATCGGCGGAAGATTTTCATGAAAAAGTGGCAGAATCACTGCAGCTGTTTGAAAATTGCATGCTGGATTACTCACTGAGAGCCTGTGTCTACAACAACACCCTGAACAACGCCATGCCCGTACGTATTTCCAAGGACATTTGATTCCTTGCTTGTTTAATGGTACGTTGTGTCGAGGTTATTAAAATGCCAAAAAACTGTGCAAGTAAGGATCGAGAAATAAAACTTTCTCCCTTTTCATTTGTAAAGCAGATGACATAAATATATATGTAAACATGTAAAAGCTGATGTACTGGCTCAGCTATCTCCTCAGCCTGTTCCCTGATGAATGCCAGCAGTAACAATACAGTCTTTCTATTGTGCAAGTGTGTGGAGAGCACATTTAGTGAAGATTACAGTTTAATGTGTAAGCTTTTTGCAGATGTCTCCAAAAAGTAGCTCTGGCATGGATCTTTGTGGTATGAAATTGCCTCAAAATCAGAATAAATTATGTATTCTTTCTCAAGAAAAGGCTACCAATAACTAGATAAAACCTTTTTTTTTTTTTTTTTTAAATTGTGCACATCAGAAAATGATAAAAGGAAATACAGAAACTGCTGGCAGGGGAACGGATAAGTATTACAGGCTCAGTATTCCAAAATTCACATTTTTAGTGTAGAACTGACTTCAAATTTTGCTTGAGGGGGGAGAATAATATGGAAGAGATTGACTTGAAGTATCACATCTGGCCAGTTCGCCATTCAAGCCTGTTTTATTTGCTCAGGCTATAAAGGACTCAGAGGGAATACTTCCCTCCTTTGTCTCCAGGGTGAAGTTATCGCCTCCTCCACTCAATAAAATAGCCATAAAAGAGTGTATTGCACAGGCTTGAGCCCTGCAGCAGTAGGGCAAACAGGACATTCCTCTTACTTACCTTGGCAGGTAGGCTGGAGCTGCTCATCTTTGATGATAGCCTCCAGGACCTCCCCAGACACGAGTTGCTGCCAGGCAGTATCACAGTATTTTCCAGCCATCTGCTTGCACAAATGCATTTCTTCCAGTGTGGGGAAAGAAAGGCAGAGAGAGAACCAGATGGGGAAGATTTTCTTTTTACCTTCATCCTCAGGGTGCAGAACCAATCTTCATTTGTTGTCTTAGGCAGCCCTCTGAAGAAGCTACTTTTGAAAATGAACAGAGGACGCCTCTTTCCAAAGAGCCACAAGCAGGTGGTCATAATAAAACCCAAATGCTAACTGAGCTCCTCAGTGGGCTTTTTTTAGGTTCTTCTTCAGCCAAGTTGCTGAAGTCTGTTATGTGCATGGTTTACTACGTATTGAAAAAGTAGGGATTATTTTCCCTGCTGAGCTCATTAGATTGCTAATTGTGTGACTGTGCCAGAAGAATTTTATTTTGTTATTTGTTAATACATTCCTGAAATGAGAGAGGTGACATAGATATAGATGCTAACCTGTAGATAAAGGTGTGTTTGTCAGCTTATCCTCACCTAGAATCAGTGAAAATCATATTACCTGGAGAAAGGGATGCCGAGCTAGGGTGATCAAACTGAAAGTACCGAAATGGATATTATAGAGGGGAGAATGGCTTGGGAAACTGTACTGATGCCTTTGATGTGCAGGAGGAAGCACCAGAGCTTTATGGAAGGAGACAACCTGGTTCAGAACAGCGATGAAAAAGAAGTCAGTACAACACACTGTATAGGGAAGAAAATCAAGGTTCTTGCTGATCCCACGAAAACTGAAAATTACGGGGACATATTAGTTAAAATTGCTCTTTCTGCTGAAAAGCTTTTAAAAATATTCTGAGCCTCTGTGGGAAAGTGCTATAATCCCAAACTATGCCATGCAGCTGATGCTTGCCTTTCACTCACCTCCAGCTCTGAGGAGAAAGAAAAGCAAACCCCATCACTGAGCCAAACGTTTGCCCCAGTATTCAGTGAAGTGGGCCATTGACTGAGGGCTGGAGTGCTGCCCTGCCAGTATTGTTACAGGATAAGCTGATGTTTTAATCAAATAAGATGTTTCAAATTCTCATGTAGCATATATATATAAAGAAGTCTGCGCAATACACAGGCTTATTGTTATAAGCAGCCAACGACATACATCAGAATTGTACATTATGATAATAATGACTTAGCGATAATTCAAAATATGGCATCTATCTCAAAGGGGGAAAAGGATCTTTGCGCAGGAGTTAGCAGGGCTTATTGAAAGAGCTTTAAACCAGATTTGAAGGGGGAAAGGGATAAAACCAGGCTCACTAGAGACAAGGCTGGGGCAGGACGCCAATGCTGGATGGACAGGTCCTTGGGTCTGCCATCTCAGTGGAGGCAGGGGATGGAGATTCATCCGGTAGCAAAGACACAAGGG